GGGGCGGAGCTTCTGGTCGGGGCGGGGGCGGGCCGAGGCTTCCCTTCCCGCCTCGCTTCCTGGCTACCCAACCAGCTGAGCCTGAGGTTTTCTGGAGTCAGCATCCTGCTCAAGAATTCACATAACTGCCTGTCCAAACCTGTTCCCAGACCAAACCCAAAGGACTGGTAATAGAGGGCTGCACTTTTTTGTTGTTGTTAATCCTCATCCCAGGATATTTTTTCATTGGTTTTTGGAGAGAATGGAAGGGAGGGGGAGAGACACACAGAGAGAAACATCTATTTGTCTCAGACTGATTTGGTTGCCTCCTGCAGGAGCCCCGACCAGGGCCTGTGATGGAGCCTACAACCCAGGCACCTGCCCTTGACCGGAATGGAACCCGGGATCCTGCAGTCCGCGGATGGATGCTTTATCCACTGAACCAAACTAGCCACACTTTTTTATGCAGTTATATTTTTAACCAGGTTCAAAACCGTAAGCTACAAAGTGAAGCTCAAATGGTGTAAATTTTGCCAACAGACTGGGTAGAATTTTGGGGACAAAAGGTTCTAATTAGGCCCTTGCAAGTCTTGCAGGAGAGGTGATGGCCAAGGGAGTTTTCAGCCACCAGCCACCCATTTCTTTAAAATCCAGAAAAGCATTGAAAGTATGGGGGAGAGGAGCAATAGGCCAAATCAGCGTGGCACTAGATGCTTTCATCTCCGTTATCTCATCTAACATCCCAACAACTCTGGGAGATCAGTGTTTTCCTATTTTACAATATGAAAACGGGCCCAGGCAGGCCCAGGACTGAATCTCCATCATGTTAACTGTCCTCTTTACTTTTGCTAACATCTTATTTTTCTTCTTTTTAAAATTTGCTCTTAACTGTTTTCCCCCGCTCCTTTCCTTAGGCCTCTGCCATGTAGATACTTAACCCTGGATAAAGGAGTCAGAGTTTAAAAAGATTGCAACCCTTATTGACCATGTCTGTGTTTTTAATTTTGGGTAGCCAGGTGAAATACAGGATGCTCAGATAAATTTTAATTTCAGATTAAAAATGAATTACTTTTAAAGTATATATTTATACTGAAGTATCACTAGGGCACTTATGCTAAAAAGATTTGTTGTTTTAAATTGTGGTATATACACACAATGGAATATTATTCAGCCATAAAAAGGAATGAAATTCTGACACATGCTACTACATGGAAGTGCCTTGAGGACATTATGCTAAGTGAAATAAGCTAGTCACAAAAAAAGTCACACTTAATGAGGTATCTAAAGTAGTCACATTCCTAGAAAATAGAATGGTGATTGCCAGTGACTGGGGAGAAAGGTAATTGTTTAATGGCTATAGAGTTTCAGTTTTGCAAGATGAAAAGGTTCTGGAGTGTTGGTTCACAATGTAAAAATACTCAACATACTGCACTGTACACTTAAAAATGGTTAAGATGGTAAATTTTTTGTTATGTGTGTTTTACCACAATCAAAAACATACTTCTGGGACTGAACACAAGTTCAGTAACTTTCTCCTCTAGTTACTCCCTATATCATTTTTTATCTACACTAATAAAAGAGAAAGATGCAAATTGACCATATCTTTGTGACACCCACCAGCCAATCAGGAGTGATTATGCAAATTAACCCAACAAAGATGGTGGGTTAATTTGCATATGCAGGTGCTAAGTGGTCAGGGGCGGGACACTTGCGTCATCGCCATGGCAACGACGCAGGTGTTCCACACCGCCCCAGCTGCTCAGAGCTTCTGAGTAGCTGAAGGTGGGAAGGCGGGAAGGTGGCTACGGGCCGGAGCAAAGGCAGTGCTGGCAGCCAAGGGAAGGAACTCCCATTATTACAAGAATCTTTGTGCATTGGGCCTCTATTTATATTTTTAAAAAATATTTTTATTGATTTCAGAGAGGAAGGGAGAGGGAGAGAGAGAAACATCAATGGTGAGAATCATTGATTGGCTGCCGCCTGCACGTCCCCCACTGGTGATCGAGCTCACAACCCGGGCATGTGCCCCAACTGGGAACCGTGTGACCTCCTGGTTTATAGGTCAACCGCTGAGCCATGCGGGCCGGGCCCCTATATCACTTTTTATATAGCAGATATAATCATCTTATTTATTTACACATTTATTGCTAGTCTCTTGCCGTTAGAATATATGCCACACAAGGCCAGGGGTTGAGTCTGGCTTGTTTACTGTTGTGTCCCTTGCATCTATTAGGTAACTGATGCCTGAAGGAGTATGGTCAATTCTGTTAACTTTGAAAACTTATGATCCCTTTTTTGTATATTCAACATCTTTCTCAACTGGATTTCCCCACCCACTACCCTATATCACCCGTTAGTGACTACCCTGCACTCCCCTTCAGAGTAAAATAAAAACTCAAGAAACTAATTAGATTTACTCTTTTCACATTCTGTTCTTGATCTTTAGTCCTTCCTACTCTAGTTTCCACCTTCTTTACTGCAGTGATGCAGCTGTAAGGTGACCAGTGACCTGCAACCTCCCCTCCAAGACATCCCTGCGGGATGTTGGAACTCCACAGTAATTAGTCCCAAACCCTGTCCTCACTCCAAATGCTGAACCAAGACAGTCTCATCCTTACCCCCTGCTTTCATAACTACCAGAAATAGGCAGAGGATTCAAATGTCTAGCCTGGCCCTCTCTGAGCTCCAGAACAGTATTTCCAACTGCCCTACTTGACAGTGTTACAAAAAAGCTTGTGAATGAAATCGCTTCTATTCCCTGTGGGTCTCTTCCAGTGTTCCCTTTCTTATACTACTTCCATTTATCCATTATGGCAATCCAGAAACCTATAAATCATCTTTGATACTTCCCTCTCCCCAGACTCCAGATCCAAGGCATTGTCAATTCCTGTCTATTTAGTTGCCAAGTATCTCTTGATACCATTCACTTTATGGACCAAGCTGTTCACCATCTCTTGCTTCAGTGCTTTACTCTCACTAATGTGATCTCTACACATCACTAAACACAGAGCACATTTCCTGTTCTTATCTTACCAGCCAGTGATTTTATTAAAGACAATTCTTCTATCATCACTGTTTTTAAATAATATCTACCATTGTTCGTAGAATACCAAAATCCTTTATGTGACTTACCAGGCTGTGGGGACTGACTGCTACTTACTCTTTAGCCCTCCCTTGCTCCCAGTAAGCCTCTCCATTATTTTTGCTGTAGTGATACTTGCTTTCTTTCATTTCCTGAACTCCCCATGGTGCTTCCTAGTTGGCCTTTGTACAGCCTGTCTCCTCTGCCAGAAAGCATTCCCAGTGACTGTGCCCACTGAACTGCTTTTTCTTCACCATCATCAGCTGTGTCATTCTGAGAAAACTTCTCTCTGCCTGGTAACAACCTTCACAGAATTGTTGAAAGGATTGGTTGGTACTTCTAAAGTGCCCATACCGGTGGCTGGCACTTAATAAGGGTTCACTGCCAGCCTGATTATTACCTTCCTAACTAGGCCAGTTCCCCCTATTTTATAGCATTGTATACCTTTTTCCCCCTAACATTTGTCATAACTTTCATTTGTGTATGTAAGCATCTTGTACCCTAGCGTAGTACCTGGCATGGGATATGGTGTTCAAGAAATACTTGAATGTTTCTACAGGCTTAGTCAAAATTATTATTTATAAAAGACTAAAGACATGGAAAGGATACAATTGATAAAAGAATCTGATGTTGTTATTAGGAAAACTAGGCTAAAATCAGTATGACATTTATAACTTCTTATATTTAGGTTTGAAAGTGTAAATGCCTAACTACTGAGTGGTCAGAGAGTTGATGACAAAGGGAGCCCAGGCTTACTTGATCACAAATCTAATTATGATGAAGCTGGTAAAATAACTGAAACACTCTCCTTCACATTAATAGAATTGTGTCCAGATAATGGAATATTCCCATCCATTGTACCCAGAAACTAGCCACATCACGCTCAGTTCTTAGGGTTGTTGGAATGCATGAAGCGGACAAGAAGCAGATCCAGGAATGACTATAATCAGGATGGGGAAAGGCATGGGCGCTAAGGTTGAGGAAGAGAGCCGATAAAAACCAATCTGTCTTCTGCTATCTGGGAACAGCAAAACATCTACTCTGAACCGTGAGTAGTTAATTTATAATGATGGCCATTTCAGAGCGGCAACTTTGTTCAATATTAAGAAGACTTGGTAACAACTAAACCTACTCAACAAAGAACAGGCTACCCTGGGGTGAGTGCCTCATCGTTTGCTTCTCAGACTCCTGACTTGCTCCTGCAGGGATCTCTCCATAAAATGGCATGCCTCAAAAATCTTTTATCTTGAAAATGTTATGCAAAATGTGTCCTTGACTCTGTAACTCTTAAACTTGTATTACCATAAAACTGTTTCACTTACCATCAGGTAAGGTAAAACTGCTGTCCCGTGAGTCTTGTGCCAAGTCTTCACACATTACTTAGAACAAGGCCCAATTTATTTTCAGGTACCAGTTTGAAAAAAACAAAATTACCCAACCAAGTGGATGGTAATTGGTTAGGGTAGAGAAGAGGGATGTTGTAGAAGAAATTCCTGCAGGAAACACATCCTTTATAGTCTGGCTCAGATATGGTACCTCTGCTTTTAATCTTATTTTATCTATCTATCTATCTATCTATCTATCTATCTATCTATCATCTATTTATTTTTGTTAATCCTCACCTGGGGGTATTTTTTTCGTTGGTTTTTAGAGAGAGTGGAAGGGAGGGGGAAGAGAGACAGAGAGAAACATTGAATGTAAGAGATACATCAATTGGTTGCCTCCCACACGTGCCCAACTAGGGCTGGGGACCGAGCCT